TAACCAATTCGTGCCGAGGTGCCCGGTATCAGAGACATTGGCTTTATACACAAAGCCAGGGTGTCCAAAATCGGACAAAGAAGCTTGGCCTTGTAACAAAAGACTGTACTTGAAACAAAAGACCGGACTGCAGGCAATTGCCAATAGCAGAGGAAATCTGTCATTGTTTTGAATGATTATACCACTGTTTGTGGCATTCAGTGTGAGCGGATTACCATTGGGGACAAAAGGGCTCCAGCACTCCAGGGATGAGCGATACAATACCGCTACACGCAAATCTGGTCTGCATTTGAAAAGCCAGCTGCGCACTGGGCTAGTTTTGGGACCAAAAGAAAATTACTTAACACCGCACAATCTGGGCTCCCTTTACAAGGCAGCAGGCCTGGCTGAAATACTCTGGATGTTGTCTGTCAGATTAGAATAGCCACCAGACAGTCATCCAAGTGGGTGTAAATGTTCAGTAAATGAAGTTATGGAATTTTGAAGAATTTTGAAAATGGACAATCTTGAAAATCCCCCGAGAATACGCCATGCAGCTTCAAATTAAACCCGGCAGCGTACAGTTAGGTTAATTCAAGTGAGCACTAAAACAATCAGCCAAACTAAGGAAGGAGGAAGGTATTTGTAGAAGAACCTGAAGGCAGTCAAGTCATCTCTTCAGTGTTCCAAGACTTAAAGCTGGGCCATGCATCAGGCAAATGTGAGCTGTGGGGGAGGAAATGCAAAGCCACAATAAATTCCAGACTAAGTTGGTCCACCTGCAGTGAGTGGCAATAACACATGAAGAAGCGCGGAGTGTGAACCAGAATGTGGGATTACAAATAACTGTGTGTATAGGGTCAGAAATAGGAACTTAGCATTCCAGACTTTTCTAGTGCGGTATTAAAGCGAAGTCAGTGGCTCAAGGATGGGGGAGAGAAGGGGTTTCAATCCCATTACCATCTCCCCCTCAACCAACCTGCTCATGCTTATCTCTACGGTACGACTATAAAATTACTCTAAAATAGATCCCATGCTGTGTGGCTCAAACTTCATGAATGGCCTTAGTCAATGGGAGGCTAATCCGACGATAAAAACCATTGATGTGCCACTCGGTTGGAAGTGGACACCAAAAGACGCAATACTTGACTAATACTAAAAGCCTAGGAAGTGGCAATATAGGAGATCTCTGTGAGGATGCCGGTTCTCTAATACACACAAACCGCAACAGGAAACTCTGCTTTAACTGATGCTTGAAAATATCTCAACAAAGCTGGAAATTTCAATGCACTGGATGGAAATAAACCGACAGTCTCACCAGTTTTCATAAAATGAGTCAGATGTAGTTGTCACACTGACTTACTGATTAGATTACTGGATTATAAAGAGCAGGGATTTTACATGCTACATGTATACGGCGTGTCTTAAACCTCCTAAACACATCTGCTCCCTGTCATCTGAAAATAAGAAGCTTTACATGTCTGTCAACAGTTTGACAAGTCCTTTTCCACAAAAGCAAGTTTCTGAAGCTGCTAACAGGCAAGGTTAAACACATGTTTCCAATAAATATGATAAGTGTTAAATGATTAACCAGTACCATACATATGCAGGAGGCCAAAAACAATGATAAATTTAAAAACATCTTTCCCATTTTTTTAAACATGCTCTTCAAAAATGGAGGGAAGTGTCTTCTAAATGTACGAATACAAAGATTACTGCATTCTTCAGGGAAAAAAATGGAGTGGATTTTAACATATTTACAGACCGTATAGAAGTTCCATGTCGGATTGTATATGATAGCATCCGCGCTGGTACACGCCCAAGACGGCATCAGCCACCATGCCGCCACATCTACCGATCCACTGGAACATGGTCCGTCCCCTCTGCTTGAAATCCACCCATCCTGATGACATGTGTACCTGCTCCATGCTGTGGGCTCTGTCTCTCTGAGTTCGTCCTTGTGTGTGGACCTAGCATAAGATATCTGACTGGCTTTTCTCTGACAACAAGGGCTTCCTAGTGCCGAGATAAACTGTGACTCGTGAGTCTGCTGCTATGCCTTTTGATTTCCCGCACTCGGCAAACTGGAAGCTTGGTGGTTTGGAACGATCCATTTTCGTACAAGGGATATATGAAACGCAATGGATTTTTTTATAAGCAGTATTCGGGGTGAAAGGTGAGTGGATTCAGAGTCGTGTGATCACAGAGATCTTAATTCAATTATGAAAGGGGGTGAGGAAGTGGAGAGGGGTACCACGGGGGGACGGGGGAAGAATATGCTTACTGAGAACAATGAAGCAGAAAGTGAGCCAGGTTTAGCCTGGTTAGGGCAAAAGCAGGTTAGTCACATGGTGGAGTGAGCAAGGTACAGACTGAAGGAAGTACCCTGGATGGGAAGGTAAAGTCAATCTGTCACTCAACAACAGAAAAATGTCCATGACACTGCACCTATCGGAAGGAGGATGGGCGGGAAACAGGGCACTGTGGTCATCATCTGAGGATGCACAATTAAGAGGGGAAGACTATCAGCGCTGAATGTGTAATTCATTCAGACTGCAGCTGCAGGGTTGCACATACACAATGGGTGCTCCTTTGACAAACGGGGGTCGGTAATAACACACAAGCACCTCAACCTTAAGGACATTCAAACGTGTGGTACCACCTCATCGATGGCATCTTATCTCAGTTGCTAGATTGGTCAGCACCAGTCTACCAGTCCCATGACCGCGTGGATTCTTCACTCTCACAGCAACGGAGCTATCCTCCGGTCAGAGCAAGTTTAAGTCAAACTGAACACTGATTGCTTGTTGCAGGACAACGTCAGAAAGCATCAGGAATTTCCTGATCACATTTCCTCTGAGCAACGGGCATTACTGAACAGGCATTAGATACAGGAAGCCAGCCATGATGTAATCTGGTATATTTAATTTCTCAGGGAGGCTAATAAGGTCCCACAATGTCAGGCTTGAGCACTATTTTCACTCATTCACTTTCTGGATATAAATGCATCAGAAGGAGCACAGACAGGTCTTCAGTTTAAGAAATCAAACAATTCAAAATCCTGGCAAATGTGGACAGTCTGTGGACAAACAGAGGGAAATCCCATGCACTGTTACAAAGGAAGCTTTTTAATTGTGATAAATGGGTCACGGTAATCTGTCCAGTATTATCTTCTTCACATGCATGTAGAACAGCCCTTTTCCCTAGCATTCCATCCCCTCTTAATCTTTGTCCAGAATAGAGTTTCACAATGTCAAACAGAAATAGACTGAAGAAGAAACCAACCAAGAAAGACAGACCGAAATCAAACTGAGGTATGACAACATGGATTACATAATTATACCAACAGCCCGCCATGGGCCACCAAATGACTCCAAATATACCTAACAAGGAAACCAGCCAATTAAATGCATGTTTCCTCCATTAATTGGCATCCTTCTTGCACTATCACTGCCCCCCATGCTCATGTGCGTGGCAACCGGGTAACGTGAACTATGGGAACTAATGACCGGACACAAACATTGAACTTTGGCCTTTGAACGTAGTTTGTATAAAAAGCTAACACTTCCTGGACTGAAATAGGAAAAAAAGTCCTAGCTCATCGAACTTATCATGTGACAAGGACCTTTTTAAACTCACAGACAGTAAAGGGCAATGACATTTGTTTGAAAAGTTTCAAAAATAGTTGGTGCCTAATTATGTCATGACTGGTCATCTGACCTTAGCGTGCCCAACGTTATCAGTTTTTCATGCTATCATGCTTCAAAAACCATTTATGAGAAGGAAATGAGCACTTAGACAGGAAGAAGCTGAGCATATCTGTCAAGTTTACAGGGAAAGGGACTTGTAGGGGCTTAAAATAGTTTTGAGCTTGTTACTCAAATTTCTTTCAGTGAATTAAAAGCTTTTGGGTCTGTCAGCTGTGTTGCAATCAAACCTTTTTCTGGTTCCTATTAGCAAACTAATATGCAATATGGTGAACAGAATATTTGGGTCTTTTTGACTGTACAGGTTGAAAGGTGAGTATTTTGACAAAATATAAATGTCTACCATGTCAAGTATATCTCCAGAACTTGGAAAAAAAGGTCGGAATTCCAACAGTGTTGTACCATCATTGGGCGCTGATCAAAATTAGTAAAGATTGTGATTATGGCAGAGTGACAGTCTACAATGGGCAGTCCCAAGAAACGTAAACAGTGAGGAGTCACAAAGGAAAGATGTGACCATGGAGTGCCAGCAACAGAAGTCCAAAAAATGAGGACAAATGGCTCAAAAAAGTGTTGAAGAATAAAGTACTCTTATCGTGGACTGGGTATGGGTAAAAATGATGGGTACGTTGAGGGAATAAGACACTCAAAAAGAGCCTGGGAGCTTTTCTAGAGGAAACAGCAGCACACTTTCTTTTGTGTATTTTAACCACTTTCTGCCGGGACTCCGGAATCGGAGACGTATGGTTTATATGCAAGGCCCGGGTCTCCGAACTCGGACGAAGGAAACAGGGCCCTATAACAAAAGACCGTACTCCAAACAAAAGACCAGGCTGCTGGGCATTACCGACATTTTTCACTCTCAAAAGTGGTGATAATCCAGCCTTGTTTTGATACCGTATACCAGGGTTTGGGGCATTGAGAGTGAGCGGATTACCACTGGGGACAAAAGCGCTCCACCACCGCAGCGTTCAGCCACACAGCACCGCTGCACGCTAATCTGGCCCCTATTGAAAAGAGGTCAGCAGTGCACTGAGCCAGGTTCGTGTACAAAAGAAAGTTAGATAACACCGCACAATCTGGGCTCTGTTTAAAAGGCTGCAGGCCTGGCTGATATACTCGGGCGTCAATGAAGGTCATTTGTCAACTTAGAGTAGTGCCTAAAGATTACTTTGTGCAGCTATAAACGACAGTTAAATGAAATGATGAATATTTGAAGGATTTTAAAAATGGAAAAAATGATAGTCATGCCGGCCCAGCGTCATCAACATTGAAAAATGCCCCGGCATGAAGTGGTTAATATTCAGAACCAACCTGTGTCTTGGAAGGCATTGGCTGTCTCCACAAGGTTATGCCAGTCTAAATGGGCGGCAGAATCGGGTAGCGGAAAGAGGGATGGGTTGGAGGTCCCTCGATTATTGTTGGCATTCAAATCATCACTGCTTTTTCTTGCCTCTGTTGAGGGAAGGAAGAATGTTTCTCCTTTTAAATCTTCAATATTTTGATATGAAGACTTCAAACCTTTAGTTGAAGTAATCTAGATCATCAAACAGGATATTCATGTCTTGGAACAATATACTATAACTACCACAATCCAATGTTTTAAATAGGAACAGTTATGACACAATCTTCACAGCACATCACAGCCCCAAATAGCTCTGAGAATGAAAACACAGATGACCTCATTATGTCTTGGGTCCACGAATGCTACCTCCCTGGATAATTGGTTCCATTCAGTGGGGGGGGGGGGAAGTTATCCCAGGGCTGTACGTCCAAGTTTGTTTATGTGGAACACATGTGACTACAACACAGCCTGGGGGCAGGCTGTCAGAAATGCTCCGCTGTCATGAGCGGTTTCTTTGAAACCCAAAGGACCACTCGACCATTTGGATATAGGCTACTTACGGTCTTGGTTGTGACATCAATCCACTGTGACATTAGAACATGACATGAACAACTGAAAGTCTACAAATTGGAAAGGTTGCAGTTTGAAGCCAGGTCTGACTGCTGACATGTTGGGGGAACAACTTCAAACACACCAAGTCTACACACAATTTTAACATGTGTTTCTCAGCCTAGAATGAGAGAGACGGCCACAGGTGAAGCAAAAGATTGAGATTCTACAAGGGACATGGGAGGACGATCTCATGGTTATTCTTCTGCAGACGGTTCTAAGGCGAAAACTTAATGGCCCTTTTGAAAGCATCAGTTCAACATCAGTATCGTGGTACGTGGATGTCCAAGTGCTTGTGAGTATTGCCCTTGACTTCCATTTAATTTTTCCCCACCTTTGAGAAAGTTTCTGTTGGGATTGAAACATCGGGCCCTATGCCCTTTTGGATTTTGACTTCTTCACAACATGTTTTTGGGCTTAATGCATGCAGAACAAGATGCTGTCATGACTACAAATGATACTGAACCACTCATTTGCAGAAAAAACAGTGAGGGATTTAATGACCTCAATGTGCAAATTAAACAAAACGGTGACCACTAGTGGTAAAGAAGGCACTGTAAACATCTTAGCACAAAGACACACTGCAAAGATTCTTACAAACAGACCTATTTTGCTGAAAATGCGCATATTCCAAGTGATCATGTTGACCACTTGTCTGGTTTGGGTGTAGGCCTAGTCCGAGTAAGTCGGACTAGATTGCGTCAACGCTTCTTCATGCATAAAATAATCACACGAGAAATCCATTATCGAGGTTGAAGAGTGAAATGGCCCTATTCCCACTTGATTTGATCAAGTTTTCAAAACTTGAAATCTTCAAATGCACGCTGCATGTCCAAACTTTTGGAATTTCCTGGCATGGGTTTTGTCGCCTGCTCGCTGGCCGGCCATAAAATGTCTCCATCCTTGTTTATTTCCGAACATTTTTATCTTGAGAATTGGTCTTGTCAAAGATTGCATCCAAATTGGACCCTCTTTCGACAATTCATAGACAGACATGTTGATGAGTCTATGTCCAAAGACTGTTTGAAATCTCGGGAAAAAGCGATACACATGGAACATGTAAAAGTCATGAAATAATGTGCGACACAATTTCTTCGCCCCGTGCCAGTTACCACAAAGCCCTCTTAGGCTATTGGCGAGAACGGAAAATTTACTAACCTTATTTCAAGCCGCATATTTACGGTGGCCGTGAAATGTGCACTACATAAAATAACGGGAGACTGTTTGCCACTACTTCCACTGACACACAAGTGGCTTTAAAGAGTCCCACTAATGCACCATGAATATTGATGGGTGGTTGAAGGATGCTGTTTTCACACGAGGTTTGTACACATGCACATATCCTTACACAGCTATACTTATGGGGTATTTCCTTTGTTCTCGTGTACAAAACTCCCACACTACACGCAAAAAAATTCAAATCACTCCAATTTAAACCAAATTCACTTTCCTGGGTTGAAATTTCGACCGTATGTCCCTTATATAAAACACTTCAATTGGCGACAGATTTTTACCCGTCAAAAATTTCCCCTTTTTGAGTTATGTCCAAATATCAGTTTCGTGAAAAGGTAAAAACTTGGCCTTGTGGGGTACTTCCCATTGTTCCCGTATCCCACAAGGCCCAATGTATAAGCGCATGCATACCCTGTACGTGTATGCACAATGCATACTCGCAACCATTAAACTACAATTTTTTTTTCAGGCGTGTTACAATTGTCAAAACCCGTATTTAATGGGGGACAAAACATACGAACGTATTTTCAAGAATTTCCTGCAGGAAATATGGCTGAATCGTACTACTTGGCAGGTCTGTACAAACACACCACTATTTAAACCAAACTACTTCAAAGTCAGTTCATACATAAAGGCCAATCATGTACTATGCAAATGGCACTGCCAAAATTTCAGTCACTGTGCAACGGGAAATGTTCCAACTTAAGCACTTGTTTGTTGTGAGCACTGAAGATAAACAATCCTACAACACCGATTGGTTCGTCCGTTGAAATTTTTCATTTGTGCCAGACTCAAGGAATGTGATTTTTTAAGGGGTAGAGCTCTTTACATTTTACAAACCTACACACTACATGCTATTAATGTCCAGAGCCAGGCAGCCCTTGCTAGACTGGTGAAGCGCCCTCTACAATTTGAAATGAGTTTGAATAAGTCCCCACTAGGTACCGGTAGCCAGTGGTTAACTTGTGATGTACTCTGTGTGCCTGTATACTGATATCAACCCTCCTATGGTTTAACAGTACAACCATGCAACAATTCCGACAGTCACTCTTTTGCACATTGTCCGTATGAACACAATAGGACCACAGATATGCACAGCTTCGGTGTGTACACAGTCAGTTGCCAGCACAGAATGACACAGACTCTTTTGTGCCGCCTCCGTCACTGCAGTTGGTTTACTGTGCAATTTATGCACATGAAGACAGTGGGGCACAGTTGTTGGATAGTACAGTCTGTAATATAATAATCCATATGATTGACAGCGCAGTGCACAACATGAAACAGCTGTGCTTCTTTGTGCTGCTCACCGACTGACCCAAAGAGTGACTTCAGCATGAAAGGAGGGTGAAAATGCAACAGAAATCTGGGCTATCTTCCAAATTTTGGTACAGCTTCCAGCTCTGCTTTCATTTCAGCTCCAGAAACATTTGCGATCATTTAATGTCTGAAGGAAATGAACAGACTCCACACTTTTGCCTGACATCAGACACGGCGTTGTACTAGTAACTGATGCAGAGAAGACGAGCTCTCAACTCAGGAGATCATCTTTGTGAAACTCAATGCCTGAATGCAAAGTCTGCGAAAAAGTAGAGGTTGGGAAGCTGCCAAGTTGAACTCTCCTGGCTCCCAGCTGTGCACTGTGATATGCAAAGCTACTGGCAACCAGTGATGCAACCCACTCCAACAGACAGTTTGAAATATCAGCCCGGACAAGTTAACCCTGTGTGAACTACAGCGAGTAAGCATTTGTAAGTACAACTACTGCTAACCACAGTTCTTGAGTGAACTCACTCTGTTAACCACAGTTCTTGAGTGAACTCACTCTGCTAACCACAGTTCTTGAGTGAACTCACTCTGCTAACCACAGTTCTTGAGTGAACTCACTCTGTTAACCACAGTTCTTGAGTGAACTCACTCTGTTAACCACAGTTCTTGAGTGAACTCACTCTTGGTTGCATGACAGGATGTCAACTACGCTTTGCATGCATTGTCTAGCACACGTCAAACAACAAGTGCATTTTCTTGTCAAAGATTCTGAGCAAACTGTCAAAGTGAACACTCTAAGGCATCAAGGCAAAGCACACACACGCACACTTGTCAAAACCTACTTGTCTTGGTTTTGTTAGCAGTCCTTATCGGTTGCACTGCGGCAAATCGGACAACTTGACAAAGACAAGGAAAGGCATGCAGACCTTTGTTAATTTGAGTAAAAATCTAGAGGGAAATATATTTTAATCTGGGAAGGGTTACAAATGAAAGTGTGTCAATTTAACACTTCTGAGCACAGACCATCAGCGCTACAGTTGAGACCATCACAAGACCAGACGCAAGAGACAGTTCAATTGAATACACTGAGACTTTAATTCAGACTGGGGGTCTGGTGATGGTCTCGTGGGGTCTTGTAAAAGTCTTTAATAAGGGTCTCAACTACAACACAGGCGAACAGTTAATTAAACCAAAGCATCATGTTGATAAGTTCACACAACTGCAATTAGGTCTGTACATGACCAGGAGGTGACGTCTAAATTTATGCCAAAATGAAAAGGGCTACGGAAGGCACATCACAAGCAAGGGTAATGCGAGCTTGTAGATTGTTTCGTCATGCAATTTTTCAATTACCTTTGTACTGCTGATTATCAGGCACTGGAGTACTCTCTAGCTGTGGAGACTTGGCACTTGTGAACAGGACATCGTTGGAGAGGTCCATGTCGTACTGGTCATGGCGGCCTGGACGGTTGTAAGGCCCACCTCCAGCCGCGATGCTCTCGTCTGAGTAGGTGCGATGCAGGAGGCCCAGCCGGTTGGTCTGAGCATGCTCACGGGGTAGAGCGGCCTGGAAGGGAAGATGGTGATTTAAAGACGCTTGATTCAAGCCAACTTGATGATTAATTTATCCGAACATAATGATTTCCTGCATGCAGGATGCTTGCAGTCAGGGGAGGTTTCTCGTGGGATGTCAACATCCTCTCATAAGTTTGAGCCTTCACTTTTGAATCATGCGGACTCTGCAGATGTTGCTCCTAAAGACTTGTTCGTGACAGCTATTAGTAAGGAACATTTATGTGGGTTGATGGTTTGACGTATGCACAACCAATTGTCAATTCCATTTGTACACAGCAATATTCATGTATCTCTGATTAACAGACACATGAGTGAATGATTCAATAAGCATGACCTATTTTCAACTCTATGTGCACAAAAGCCATACTCTGACTGAACATTTTCAGTATCACATCCCCGATGTCACTTGACAACAGGTACATGAATGTTCTGGGTTCTTCCTTCTAAGGACACAGGTGTAATGAGCCAGTTTGGTATTCCAACTGCACATGCTCGAACTGAAGCATATCCAAGGTCATCCTGGAACTAGAGCACGTGTGCGCGATTGTCTGCCCTATCAGCGTGGCCGTTGCCACCTCATGCGCACGATTTGTTCCCGAACAACCTTGTCTGTTGGCAAAACCAAACTGGCTTATTGAGTCCATTATAGGTCCCTTCACAAGTTCATTCTCAAGTATTGACGAGCAATAACAAAGGCATGCTTTTGTTACAGTTCAGCAGAACAGCAGAGACTGGACGACTTGCGATGGACTTTGATGGACCAAACTACAGCACTGCTCTGCAGCGACCAACATGTTCAACCTTTCAAAACAGCCTTACCAATAGTTGTTATGGCTCACAGCCAATACGAGGTGGTAGAGTAGAAGAAAATCTGTTTCCAAAAAAAAATCTTAGCAGACATGTTCACCACAGTTAGTCTCTCACCACAGTTTGGCTACATCATCCATGTTGCAGGTGAGTCAGTCCCTCACGGAGAATTCAAAGTCAGAGTGCTTACAGCAAATCCATGAACAATGTCAGTTTATTAACTCTGTTACCACACATCTTGTTTAGGTTCGGTAGGTTTGCCATTCAATTCTCGTTTTCATGCATTTTAGCAAATGCAGGTCAGTTCCAGCAAGCACAGGATTATCAACTAATTAGATGATCTTTGAAAACCCATCTCAATAACAGAACTATCTTAATTCCATCAAATTCACCAAGCTCCAATAAATAATGTATTTACTCTATAAGCAGTTAGCCATCTAAGACTAATACATCATTTCTTTTCTTTCCACTAAATTGAAACTATCTTTCCATCAAATTTAGCTACCTCAGCCTCATTAAATTCATAAAGTTCCAAGTGCGATCCTGTATATATTTCTTCAGTCCCTCAGGGGATTTGTTGACAACTGATGAGCTCATGTCTGTCTGAACCCTAACCCGATTAGATTCTTCCAAATCCACCTGGAGATTTCAAAAGATACCGCAGGACCGGCTACAATTACTTAAGTTAGTGTTTGATGCCATTTAAAAAGTTAAGTGCATAAAAAGTGGAGGATTTGTTGACAATTTTTGGAGCTCCAAGCAAGAATGAAACTTCTTTATGAAGAAGTGCCAAAAGAGCACAGAGGTCGGAGGCTGGTGGGGACCAGAGCTCATGGTGTGCATGCGACGACTGCAAATTCTAAGAGACAGTGGCTGTGCAGGCTCAGCCCAGCCTGTGCAAAATTCCCCCCCCCCAACCTGTTCGCGCAGGCATTGTGTCCACTCTTAACGAATGCCTTTGCTCTGCCCAGATATCATTTCTTGTTCGCACTAGGAGTTTTGTAAGAAGTCAGAGTTAATGCAAAACGAGCCGACCACGAGGGTAAAACACGCTGTACTGCTCCAGCAGAGCTCAACAATAGAATTAAATCAGCATGCAGAGGGGAAAGAGCTATCCAGCCCACTGGAAGTCAGTCAAATAGGTCAGTAGCCCCAGCCAACAAGCAGCCGCTAATCACCACAAACCCAGCCAAAAAAAAAAATGAAACATTTGTCTATATTTACCCAGACGACTGGGAAACCCATGAAGGAGTTCCGAAATCGAGTCAGGGACCGGCCTGGCAGGGGGACCAGCGAGCCAAAGATGACAGGGACAGTGTGGGAGAAGATGGGCTTAGGAGGCGGCGGAGGGAGTAGCTGAAAGGAGGATGGAGAAGGAGGAGAAGAAGAAACAGGGAGGCAGGAGTCGAGACTGCCGAGAGATGTTGCTGCCGTTGCTGAAATAGGTAACGATGGTGGTTGCTTTGAGGGTGACATGACAAGGCTATTCACCTGGTGAGCTCCTCCACCTGACAATGTGGTTACGGACGGCGACAGGGCATCCGTGTTGAGGGACTCCGGAGCGATGAGCTTGCGCAGGTTCTCCTGGAGCTCGTTGTTCGCTGGGAGGGACTTGGATCCCGACTGGCCCTGTCGGAGACGAGTGTTCAATGAGTCGTTGGAACTCCGTACCTCTGTTGTCCTCCTGGAGAACAAATTAAACAAGATCTTACAAAATGAGTATTAAAACCATTTTTTGGGGGGGGGGATTTGTATTTAATGTGCCCTTGAAAAACCACTCTTGGATTTTTGTTTTGATGCATCACTCACTTTGCCATCCTGCTAAAAATGGACCTTATGTGGGTGACAGATTATGGTCCCTGATGATGTACAAGATTTGTTTAAAGGCCCTTCACTCAAAAGTGGCTTTGGTGACATCACACTCACTTTGTGACGGAAAACAAATCACGTCAACAGTGCATAAGCAGGAACCGATGAGCAAAAGGCTTAGGAACCAGTTCAAAAATGAACAAACCCCAAAAAGATTACTATAAAATGTATAAAACCTTAAATCTAAAGATGTCACAGAAGTACACTTTAACTGATTGTGAAATGAAAAACATTGTATGAGAAAATCTGGCAGCTCAGAGATAACATGTATATGTTTCTCCAACAGTTTCTTCAGTTAAGGTGTAAACATCTGTCAGTGAAGAGAATTTTTCATGATTAATTGAAGTAAAGGGGGACAGTAAACATTATCTATGAACTATTTTTCAAATTTGGACAACTCTAATGACTTTTTTTGAACTAGTGATTCATTCTCCAGCATTCAGTTTTGGTGGGTTAATAATGCCTACCTGCGTGAGATCCTGGGGCTGCTGGTCTCACTGATACTGCTGCTAGAGGACGCAGAGGGACCTGCCCTCCTGTGCCCGCTGGATACGTAATCTGCTCTACCCTGGACCGGGTTCCCGTGCACAGTGGTCCGACGGCTCAGCTCTGGGCTGTGAGCGGCTACGGGGCCGCGGGGAAAGGTCCCGGCCCCGGTGTGGGCTCGTGGGCCCAGCTCAGCCCCCCGGTATTCCCCACCACCTCGCTGGCTGGAACCACTGGAATGGGTGGAGTGGGAGTGCAGCGACACATCGCTCAGGTTGGAGTTGCTGGGAGCCGGCAAGACCACGTTGCTGGAGATTGGCGCTGGGCGACCCCCGGTTCTCTGCTGCTGCAGCTGTGGCTCTGCATCCGACGACATCCTGTCTGGGTACAGGTGCTCAGTGGGGCTGTACCTCTCGGGCTTGCCGTACGCATCGGAGTCGCGGTACTCCCCGGGGAATACATGGTGGGATGATATTCCCGCTGTGGTTGATGTGCTGTAGCTGGGCTCGGCAATGTTGTCACGTGACCTGGACAGTCGGCTGTCATGGTAACCGTTCATGTCATCATGGGTGTCATACCACTTTTCATCACTATTGTTCGACGACAGGGTGTCTCCACTGCGTGAGTGCTTGACAGAAGCCTTGCGGGGATAATGCAAAGTTGGAAAACAAGTTAAAAAAATTACAACCTTTTAAACTAGCAGACTGAGCCAAAACAGAACAGAGTTTTTCTAGCTTCTAAAACCTCCACAAAGTCCAGCAGAAGTGGATCCTCTGGACCAATTCCACACTAACACCCCAACAAAAACTTTCCAGGCCAAAAGAGCAGCAAATTCAAAGTAGTTTCTTCCACTGGCCTGTTGTCCGTTTTCACTTTAAGTTTCAATTGGTTGCAAGGCCAATCTAATTTTTAGCATGTGCTTATTTAACCAAAAGTCCCATTCAACTCTCTAACTCCTTCATTACATTTCTCAAGTGTGAAAAAATTTTCAAGCCTGGAATTTGAGGTTTTCTGGCCTGAAAATTTTTTAAAGGGAGTAACCTCCTCATGTACCTCATTGAAATAACCCATCACTACTACAAAGTGGTCTTTGTTCATCCCCACTGAAAATTTTGCCCATGAAACAAAGCAACATTATACAAATATAACATAGTTTGAGGTAGGACAGTCGCTGTTAGTCAGGGAGCTAACATCAACTGTCCGACTGAAATAACCCATGTTATATAAATTTGTTTTACTATACATGTACCTCATACATATTTTACTTTCTAACCCCGAAAATAAAAACAACGTCTGCTGCCATCTTCTCATGAGCTGCATACCGTTGCTAAGCTGGCACCACTGTGAGTGCACAGTACACCAAGGTGACGGTTCCTGGCTTTTCTGCTACTGTGCATGCAATTTTTAACTGTCGCCCGGGTAAGTCGGGTGACAGCTAAAAACGCATGTGTACTTACTCCTCGCGTGAACGATCAGGTGCGCGTTCGGCAAACAGCAAAAACAAAGGCTGGTGCTTGACTGTAAATGCACCAATGAGAGTTTGGCGATCCGTCATGCATATGTACGAGGGATAGTAACAAAATTTAGATAACTGAAAAACAGTCACAACCCTTAGCTGTTAAGGGGAAGTTTTCTGTTGGAAGGTATTGATGTCAAGAACTTACCCCTCTGTAGTGACTGTTGGACGTTGCAAATTGAGGATTGCTTCTGTCGCGATTGCTTTCTGGGAAAGTGGCTGACTGTGGAAGTCTGGCTGGATGTTGCCATGACGATTTGGACGAATCGGACAAGACTGTCGGGACAAAATGAAAAGGTGTTAAAAACACACAGACATGCAACTAGGTGGCCAGCAACACTGAAATTTGAGCAGCACAAGACTTTCACCATGTTTTCTTTATAAGGCCAGTCTACCTTGCATTAAGTAAAGCGAAAAAGAATGGCCCAATATCATCGCAAATAATTGGTAACATCGAAATTTGCTTCCCTTTCACGTTTGCTTTACGTATGAACTGGCCGCAGGAAGGTTGCTGAAGTTTCTGCACAACTCTGTGTGTTTTACAGCACTCACATACCTCTGCCTCTTGGATGTGGATGATCCAGTTTATCTTCAGTTGAGCTCTGTCGTGAGTGGGATCCTCCAGTTGCCACCCTGTGAAGTTCCTCCTGGGAGTTTCTTAACCTGGCTTGTTGGACTGCGGCCAGGGCCGAGATCTGCTCAAGCTCCTCCTGTGAGCTGCGCAGCCTCTCCGGCATGTCATGCATCCGCGGCGTCCGGATCTCTCGGGCGCTGCGCCGGTCATGGGCCATCCGCGAGAAGGCCGTGGTCATCGCCTCGTTCCCGTCTCGCGAGCTCCGGCTGTCCAGCGTGCCGTGGCCCGAGGAGGGCAGGCTGCCGGGCTCCCGTTGGGCCATGCCCACCCGGTTGGCCTGGTTTACCTCCTTCCAGTAGTTGACGGTGGCGCGGTACCGGTGCTGGCCCCCGACGCGTGACTCGGGCTGGTGGTGGATGCGGCGCTCCAGCGTGGCAATGGCATTGCGCACGGCATTGCTGGGGATGCTGTCCGGGTCTTCGCTGGATCGTGAAAGGTCAGAGGGCGTCCGTCCGTGTGCTGAGAGAGTGGTGCCAGGTGTAGTCGCTGATCTGGTATGAGAACCTTGACTAGCCTTACCATCTGTATTAAAAAAAAGAAATTGATTGTAAGTCATTCAATTACGGAGGCAACTGTGACAGCAAGCAATGCAGAAAAATCCTTTTACATATAATTTTACATAAGTAGAGAGTTTAAAGCAGTCCCTCTAAAACATCTCCTATATGCAAACAAAGAGGTTTTCCTTTCCCTTTTAATATAGAAAGGACTGACATTGCTTCAGTAACAAGGTTTTATCCATTAACTGAGAGAGCTTCTTGCTGAAAAAGACATATTTCACAAATGTTGTTAGAATTCAACTGTGATCTTGTTTCATGTAGCAGAACCAAGATTATTCCAAATATTAGTAGGAACCTAAAAAAATTTTGAAGACCACAAAAAGAAAAATATCTCTTTACATTTCCATTTTTGCACCTTTGAAAAAAATGAAAGGAAAAAGCTTCAAGCCTTAAATCTTTTTAAAAATAAACTGTTATTAAATGTTAAAGTACTTAAGCACTGAAGTATATCTTTCACACACCTTTTGTATGAAAAAAGCCTTTTTAAAAGTTTTCTCCAATTTTTTTAAAATTCTTCAAAAAGGACTAGGATTTTTCTTTCATCATATAGGAAAGAAACGTTCCATTCCCGACTATTTTGAGAGTACCTCTGTTGATGGTGATGGGTGCTCGGTAGCTGTGACCCGCCTTGCCGCTACTGTAGCTACGGTTGAACGGCGTCTTGCCGGTGTGAGGGAGAGATGCATCGTAGTCAATGGGCGTACTTCCCCTGAAAGGCAGAAATAAAAAAGCAACTTACTCGCACCAGTAAATGAAAAAAGTGTCCTGAGAAAGAAAAAAAAAACAGGTTTGATGTGATGTGTGCATTCGTAGCTGTACACCGAGTGTTTTATGAACACAGATCTGAATTGTGATCTAGTCATCAGGAAGTCAAATGGCAAATATGGTCACAAGTCAACTGCCCTATCATGGTAGGATCACGTCAACTCGTGAAATACTGTCCACTTAAATGATATACAAAATGGACATGGAGCGTGCAAATTCTGTGACAAGCAAAACTCAGCGTACAAAGTTCAGCGCGACTGTCTAAGGGGCGTGGCTAACTCACAAAGGGTGCCAAGTCAATTCATGAGTGAGAGGGGGTTGATAATCAGAAGGGATTAACAAGAATATCTTTGTCCATTTGAATACTTGCCACTTAAGCCTTGACAAATAGCAATTAACATGTTACCAATTGTAAAGACCTATTTTATGTAGGACCATGTGGGGAGCACCAGCACTTAGGAAAGAAAGTGCAAAGTAATCCAAGGGATAAAATGTCTCTTTGTTTGACGGTGACTGATTTATTTTGGAGTATACCTCCTTGGGCTTCCGTCTTCGTGGGGCGGTACAACCAGAACCTTGACGGTTTGTGACGTCCTCAGCAGATCAATCATTTCATCATGGCTTTGAGTGCAGACGGCAATCTCACAGATCTACATGATTACAATCAAAATCAGAATCACCACTTCGTTGTGGTTTCAAACTACAGACAGTGATCTGACTGATCTCACACAATCTCACAAAGTCTATCATAATCAAAATCAGGCTTCGAACCAATCATTTGGCACTCAAAAGAAGAAATAACAATTTTCTCCAACTGCATCTGTTGGCTTTTTTTACCAACACCTGCAGTGGCCATCCAGTACAGTTAATGAAAAGCAACCAATCAGTGCAAATGAATTTTGCCTTGTTTGTCTAACAATCTGACATAACCAGATATCAAAATCGTCATCAACATCAAACGTGTATACACATGCACGAATGTGCACTCTCAGCTTCCCAAGTCTACAAATCTCAAACCCACCTCCACAAGTCTCGCCCCTTTTCTTAATCCAGCTTGCCACGCCCACCCGTAGGGATCCACCTCAACTACAATGCCCTGGTAGTGCACATGGAATCCAAGCTGGCCAAGACCGTTACGAAGCAAGGTGATCTCCTGAGTCTGCATAGGTTTAACACATTCGTCATAAAGACAAATTCATTTGTGGTTCAGGTAATAGAAATTACCGGTACCATGGCTCTTGTGCTAAAAACATTAAAAACATAAGGTATTATTTCTTAAAAGAAAAACCTCCCTGATCCTTCAAAACCATCAAGAGATAATAAGGGTTTTGTACAATTGTTAAAAGTGCAACCCAACCACTTTTACTTTATACAGGGCTTAATCCCCTTTCAAAAGTTAAAGTACAACGAATGTGTCGCTGGTGTCAGTGAAGGATTTTGGAGGACGTAGGAAAGTTCCTGGAAAACTGCTCGCAGAGTTAGGATGAAATTGTTGTTGATTGGAGGAATCATTCTGGCTTCCACCACCAGTGATACTAACTCCCATCTTGCCCACTACATCCTATCCACTGAATTGCTGATTTCTTTGTGCTCAGAGGACTTCATTTTCTGAAGCATCTCTCCAGAGGTATCCTTCCACACTTGAAACGGACCGTTCATTGCTAACTCTCCAAGGATTCTCCAAACAACATGACTGATGAAATTCTATTTCAAAGTTGTCTGACTCAACCCCAGAAATTAAGGAGTAGTGCCAAACAACAGGGTCCCACAAGAAAAGTTGCTGCTTCTAAATACCTCATGGAATACTCGGTGAAAGAACTAGCACAATTTTTTTATTAACCCTTTCACACCTTCAGCACCTTGGGCCAAAAAAAACCATCACTTCTAATTTTCACTTGGTAACAAGGTTTCAGCAGCAACCCTTCCAGTAGACCACTCACTGAGCATGAGGATCCCATAACAAGAAAGTGAGTTGTGACTCAATGGTATGATTGGGACATTGTTTAATATTGGAGGTGTGTTGACCCACCTTGACTCCCGAGGTGACAGCCTCGAGTCTTTTCACGATGCCAGGAATCTCATCTAGTTCATACTCAGGTAGGCGAATCCGTACACAGTTCCCCTCGTTGAAGTAAACCTTCAAACTACAGTGACAAAAAAAATTAACTTGCCAAATTCTTGCACAAGAAGGCTCATGCTATGATGAATAGTGTACATTCTGCACGGCTGAGGTCGCCATGGCATCTCTTGAAGATCTAATTTTGCATAAGATGAAAAACTTTCCAATTTCATGACACTTTATTTTTTTATATATATTTTTTTCAGGTAGAATATCCATGGAGGCCTGACCAGAAAAAAATATAATTGCCAGCTGACTTGTACTGTTACAAATTATAAGGTCAATCAAGAATCCGACATCAAGTTGATTCAAAATGCCAGGGGATTAAGAGTGCTCAAGGACTGGAAAGGATTGCCTTTGACCCGCAGGACTTCAGCATGACACACAAACACATATAAAACTGCAAACACCCAGTAAAAAGTTCTGAAAGTCACCCAGCAGGCTCACAAACAACAACCCACCTGTACAAAAGTTTGATTCCCAAAGTGTCTGTTTTTTTATTTAAAAGACAACTCTATAAAGATGTAAAACTTCACATGGGTAAGCAAATGTACAACGAGTTTTTATTCCCTTTGCGCCGGGAAGCGGCTATAGCTGCCGTAAAAATTGACATCTGCAGCCCACTTTTCAGATATTATTCTCGGCCCACGCTCAAGTGAACACGGTGAAAGAAGGTAGACCCTGGCTCTTGTGTATATGGTAATTGGTCTTTGTGCATAGCCCAGAAATGAAAGACAGATTTTGCATCATAATCGCCAGCTTCACAATAGTCCCCACTTTGAAAAGANGTGGCCTTCATGGCCAAGCGAGGCATGAATTCTTGGAGTCGGCTTTCGGGAAGAAATTCCCGTTGTCAAGGGGTTAAGAACAGGATTTGCCCTTACATCGACAAATAAATATAAACACTGTATACTTAATATTTCTCCCAGAACTTGTGAACAAATTCACAAACTTACTCGGGTGGGACTCAAACCCAAAACCTCCTGCTTGCTACTGCTGACATCTTAACCACTCAACTACTGAGCTTGCCAGAGTCGGCTGGTCGGTCTGAGTCACAGTGTTTGAGTCGAGCCCGTAACAAATCCTTTCAGAAGTCCAGTCACAAGTCCTTTCACAAGTCCCCTCACAAGGCCAGTTATAAGTAAGTAACAGGGTGAACAATGACAAAAGAATGTTCTTGTCACAGCTCATTTGCATAGCTTGTGAATTGGCTTGTGATGGACTTGTGATAGACTTACAGGGTCTTGTAGGGACTTGTGATGGACTTGTAATAGACTTACAGGGTCTTGTAGGGACTTGTGATAGACTTACAGGGTCTTGTAGGGACTTGTGAAGACTTACAGGGTCTTGTAGGGACTTGTGATGGACTTGTGATAGACTTTAAGTACTTGTAATGGACTTGAATACGATGCTGCTGAGTCAAATGTACCAGCGAGTACCACAAAGTATTACAAGATGTACTTTGCATCGGGGAAATGTTGATTTTCACGAACAGGCTTCTGTTCTTAAATCTCCCAGACATAAAGTATATCTTGTCATGTATAATGGGCTCGACAAGGAAGCTTGTGAAGATTTATCTTCAGAGGTAACTCTACACAAACCCTCAGAACAAGTTTTCTTCTAGCTTTTCAGTCCTCAATCCCCACATTCAGGGGTTAGGGTTTACAAAACTTGTTAGGTCAGTGTCACGTTGACAAGCAAACAGTCTTACTTGTGGTGAGTGTCCGTCCACCCTATGATAGCCTTGCAAGGGATGCTGAAGATCACCTCCTTGCTGGCCTCCCTGACGAGGGTGAAGAGCTCTGGAGAGATGGCACAGATGCACTCCACAGGATCAGNAAGGGGTTAAGAACAGGTTTTGCCGGTTTTTACACCGACAAATAAATATAAACACTGTATACTTAATATTTCTCCCAGAGCTTGTGAACAAATTCACAAACTTACTCGGGTGGGACTCAAACCCAAAACCTCCTGCTTGCTACTGCTGACATCTTAACCACTCAACTACTCAGCTTGCCAGAGTCGGCTGGTCGGTCTGAGTCACAGTGTTTGAGTCGAGCCCATAACAAATCCTTTCAGAAGTCCAGTCACAAGTCCTTTCACAAGTCCCCTCACAAGGCCAGTTATAAGTAAGTAACAGGGTGAACAATGACAAAAGAATGTTCTTGTCCCAGCTCATTTGCATAGCTTGTGATTTGGTTTGTGATGGACTTGTGATAGACTTACAGGGTCTTGTAGGTACTTGTAATGGACTTGAATACGATGCTGCTGAGTCAAATGTACCAGCGAGTACCACAAAGTATTACACGATGTACTTTGCATCGGGGAAATGTTGATTTTCAAGAACAGGCTTCTGTTCTTAAATATCCCAGACATAAAGTATATCGTGTCATGTATAATGGGCTCGACAAGGAAGCTTGTGAAAATTTATCTACACAAGCCCTCAGAACAAGTTTTCTTCTAGCTTTTCAGTCCTCAATCCCCACATTCAGTGGTTAGGGTTTACAAAACTTGTTAAGTCAGTGTCAAGTTGACAAGCAAGCGGTCTTACTTGTGGTGAGTGTCCGTCCACCCTATGATGGCCTTGCAAGGGATGCTGAAGATCACCTCCTTGCTGGCCTCCCTGACGAGGGTGAAGAGCTCTGGAGAGATGGCACAGATGCACTCCACAGGATCGGAAAGACTGAACTCATCGACCTGAGACAGGTACGTAAAAGAAACAGAGAAAAACATGAATTGAAAACTGCGGCTTTTATTTCTGCATGGGTGATGACAAGAGTGGCTCCTGGTTTTCCCATAAAGGGAAGCTGCAATTAATTTGTTTTAATACAACTCTTCAAAATGCACCTTTGTGTCTCAGTAAAAGGTATGTTCAACTTTTGTATCATGATTTCAAAGAGTGCTTTACTCTTTTGGGTTTTTATTGGTTTTGTGTTAATGAGTAATTTCCATATTCATGAGCAAAACTGTGTTACCCAAGAAGAACGTCTGCAGTTACATTGGTTTGTAGTACTACTACTATACAAAACAGTCTTGCATTTTTGTAGATTTTGCTGGACTAAATTTTCTCTTGTTCACTGATCCATTGTTGGTTATGTGCATAGCAATAAACAAGCATCAATCCCTTTCTTAGAAATGTTTCCAGTAAGTATATTCTGGGTTTGCAGTTTGAACAGGAATGCCCATGCACTGTACTGTGTCTTCCCTGGATGACATCACTGTAACAGCGCCCTCAGTTGTCCAGAAAAGCATGGATAACATTAAGTGCTTAAAAAAGTGCATTTTTCAATGCATTTAACCAATTAGAAAGGCAAAAGAGTTTCCATATATATTGAAGAAGAGGACACAGTTGTAGAAAAAATTATGTCAGAGAAAAATTCCTTGCAGTTACACTTGAAGGATATTACAGTGTCAGTACTGCACAATCACTCTAGTACATGTAGTCAACAGGACAGTTTCCGACTAGGGCAGTGTCATGGTTGCTACAATTCATAACAGTCTGTGTACAAATCTGCTGACAACTAAGGGTGGGATGCACTCCTTTCATTCACCAAAGACTTCTGGGATACGTACACAAGCGAGTCAGCAAAATGCATCCAAGAGACAATGTACAGTATACATGTATGTACATTACATGGGTAACTGTTACAGGGCGTCACTAAAAATGTAAGAAAAACAAACCGTCTTCAAGCCGAGGACAAAAACATTTCTGCTGCATTCACAACATGCCTAAGCTCAAAGTATGGAAGGTGCTCGACCACCATATACATGTACATGTAATTGCATATCTATGCTTTTCGTTTCATGCTATGACCTTGGACTGCCACCATAACATCACGCCAACTTACTACGTGTGCCAAATTGCTCAATCAAATGATGTGGTTGTGGGAGATTTAGGGAATGCCACACTGACATGTTTCTGTGCTTACCATCACAGGGTAACATAATGAACATGCAACATAAGTAGATTAAAACCAACACCTAGCTGTATGACCAATGTCAACTTTAATGGAGGGGTTGCGCGTTATGGTTTTTCAATGGTTCCTTGCCATGTTTAAGAAACTATTGCCAAGCAATAGGCAAGTGAGTATAATAAATATCCAAAATCAGTTTAAGGTTTTCGGGCAGGGTAAAACTGCATCAAACTCCCAAGCCAAAACTAAAATCACACAAATTACACTGTTCTTCCAGTTTATGCACAAAAATGACGCTTTTGAGATGAGATTATGCCTTTTCAAATCAAAACGTTTGTTTACAAATTCATTGCTGATCATTTGGTTTGAAAGAAAAAAATAATAACATTAAAGGAAAAAAAAAATTGCCACCTTCAACTTTCAACTTTTGGGGATTTAATAGCCCCAAATGTGATTAAAACACTGAAACCAAACACAATAATTTTGCATTGTAGAAAGACATTTAACTCAAAAGTTCTTGACGAAATTAAAAGGATTGACGGCTCTTGACAATATTGAACTTTAGAGAGTTTTTTGAGACAATGGCACAGTCTGCATTTAAATGAATACGATGAAAAGAAAGAAGAGAATACCAAGACACTGAATAATGATGAACAACCCACAGAACAAAACCAGGGCATTACAACCATCCCCTCATGCAGGAAAATCATGAACGTCAACTCAATGAGGGCCTTCACAGCTGATGAAAATAATACTAGATCACAGAAAATGTGGAGCTTCCCGAACACAACAGAATCCAAGGGCAGGCCAGGGACACTGGTCTGGCCACTGATCATATCAACAAAAAACTGGAAAGCACTGGCCCCTGTTTCACAATGAACAGATGAGTGTAAAATAACAACGCATAATCTATCAAATAAAAAACAAAAAAAATGGTGTTAATTCCATGCACGGAGAAGAGAGTTTACATTCAGTTGAACAAATTGAAGAAAGCTGGCAGAGGACATGGCTTTCAACCAGAATTTCACTCACCAGGCAACCTTTTCAAAGCAAATGTACATCGAAATGGCTGGGGTGTGGCTGTCATTTGATTTTTGTGGAATTTTTTGAACACACCAGATTGGTATGAAGTGAAGCATGCTGCTGTCGTTTCATGCAACAAAACAGAACAAACTGCCAGGGGGTAGGGTAGCGATAAACCACCACACAAAACTGACAAATTCGGGGGGGGGGGGTTTTGTGTGTGTCACCTTCATGTCCTGGTCAGTCCAGATGGGGGACCAGAGATAGACCTGCGAGGAGGAAGAGTCCGTGAACAGGAAAAGCAAAAGAACGACGTTTGATTCAAAAAAAAAGATGAGAGGAGTCAGGAAATAATCAGCAGAACTGCTTTGGAAGGGAACTTTTAAAAACTAAAGTAAATTTGTGTATCAACAAGGTTGCCCAATCAGGTGAGAAAATAAATGGTCCTTCACAGAACGCTAAGCAATCTCTTTGTTGTTCATACAGATGACAATGTAAACAAAAGTTGCACAATTTTCAGGCGTACACACATGTACCTAACTTACTGCCTTTTTCATGCAGTTTGACCACTTGTGAGATATTATGGCAACTTAAAGGCAGACCATAGACATCTTTATTTTACACCTGTGACCCAAATTCTAATACTGAACAAAGAAAGAACCCTAGGCCAGCGGTATCTTGCTTGTAAGAGCAAGGCTTTGTCATTATAAGCATAGGAATATCATGCACATTCAATACCGGTGACGAAACAGACGGGTGTGAATCAGACTGGTGTGAAATGACCTCACCTCCACTCGCCATGTGAGGGCTCCCTTGCACTGGATGTCGGGGGCTGGTCGGGGGCATGCCTTTTCTTTCTTCTTGTGCGAGAGACTGAACTTGCTGCTTTTAGCGCCCGACTCCACGGTGGTCGTCGTCACGCTGTTCTCTGCCAAGTCCTTCAGGTATTCGCATCTTGTTCTGGTTGCCATGGCAATGAACTTGTCAGACTTGTGGACAACATTTTCTGCATTTATGACTGATTTGAGAAAAAAACACATCATTTTATGTGCTTTCCTTTCAAAGATATATTCAGTGCTCCTGTTAAAAGTCAATGTTCTACTTAAACCACACAATTTCAGGTATACTGTTTCTACCTCACGCAATGCAACACAGATAGAGAAATTTCACTCAATGAACTAAAACAATTTGGTCTCATTTCAAACAAAATAAAAACATCATTCTTAACAACATGCTCAGTTCTTATAATAATTGTTTCTCTTCAAAAGGTCCTTCGAATCTGAACTCACTCTTAGCGAGCAAAAATTCAGAGAAGGTGGGTCCCTTGGGAAAGGTAGCGTTAGCTGGCAGAGGAGGCCCAAAAGCTGATACATCCTTGGATCTTGTCACGGCAACCCTGCATGTTGAGTAAAAAGAAAATGGGGATTTCGTTAACAGAATCTGCAGCCTCCTGTTGACAATCAAGTTAAGGCAAGTTAAGTAGATGGCTAGCTAGAAAGCCAATTACTTTATGAATGCGATTTGGCCATCTATCTGGCGTGAACAGCCACACTAACTTAATGTGTGAAAACAGGTTAGTGGGCTACACTGATGGCCTGTCAATCTAAGTAAGTTAGCAGGTTTGCCGAATTAACAATCAACCTACAAGGCTGGGAGCTTATGTGGCTAGCCAACTGGCCACCAATATATCCAGCCATCTAGGCATCAATTCTAATAAGTACTGATAAAGTAAGCCAGCAGGTTGAGGAAAAATTCTACACAATGGGTGAATAATATGCAAGAGTGAAACTTTCATCAACTACAGAGAGGAAACAAAAACTCACGTGTAGAACACATTGTCTGTGTTGGGGTCAATGGCCCGCACAACCACAAACACGTGCTGGAACTGCGAACGTATTGTCTTGGGCGTGAACGGCTCAGCCCCCGGCTCTTGGAACACGATGGTGACGATGTCATTGCCAATGTGTCTCTTTCGCAGCAACTGCTGCCTGTTGTTAGCGGTGAACGGGAGCATTGTCGACACGTGGAACATGATTTCGTGTTTCTGGTACGTCGCATACACAGAGTGGGTACCGGTGGAATCGGCTAGAAAAAAAGGTAACAAAGAATGTATAAGCAGAAGATGCTCCCATACAGAGTGTCCACATGGATCAGTAGTGTCTAGTATTAACAAACTTATGTTCAATATTTGTCGCTTTCTAACAAATACACATTCAGGTTGGTTTGCGGCACCCATTTTCCTGAAGATTTTTGGTTTTAGGGAAGAATGAAATTAATTTCTGCCTGTGTGACTATTTTCTGCGTCCTTATTGTATACCATAAACAAATTCATATTTTCTGATTCCAGCACATATATTTGGAATGGTTCAAAGTGAATACCATAAATCTTTTTCACTGTTTGAAAATTTTACAATGTGTTTTGGGGATGCTTTTAATGAGCTTTGTCTTTGAATTATCTTAAGTTTTCCTTCCAAACACTCAATTAATCTATTCCTAAAAAATCTGCATGATGCTGTAAAGAAATTCCAAAATAAACTCAAAGCATGTATCCCTAAATTACTGTGATCAAAAGCCATTGTGGCCGATGACATCAAATGGTAACTTGAGTCCAAGAGTGGTAACAAGACGTCAAGCAACATCACCATGAACATTCAGGATTTCAAATCCGGTATTGACGTCAACCCTTGTCCAGGTTTCATGGAATTCAATCTTATGTCTCAATCTCAGAGCGTGTGGTGACCAGCAACTGCATCGGTTCCCATGAAACGGAATGAACAGTACACCAGACTGCGATGCACATGATAAGCACGCCCAACGGATATGAAGTCACTCAGCATACCACTTCCCTTGCTTTTGTACATTATTTCCTGTCCATGACAGATCCTTCACTCTATAGCATTGCAGTCACAACACCCCACACAAAGGCCACGTCAAGTACTCCGTAACTTGATACAGCACAAGGGAGGCCATAGTGAGATCCTAACATGAAACAATATCAGCTTCTTCACACTATAGAAGACATTTATCTGCTGGTTAACTCAAATCCTTATTGCATGTCTAAAACTGAAATTACAAAAAACCGATAGCTGCACGATGATTTTAAGCATTATAGCCGTACAAACCGACTTAGCCAAAACTAGCAAGTTTCCCTAGACAGTATCAATTCAGGTTGCTACTCATGAACGAATGAAACTCACTCTTGTTGTCTAGTTGAGCTCTGTATTTGTCAAACCCTTTCAGTCTAACCCGCTCACCGATACACTCGAGAAACTCATCAAAGGCCGGTGTGGAGTGCTCTGAGAAAAAACAAAGGAAGAAAAAAAATTGGAATCTGAATATTAAAATGCGACCGGATCCCACAGAATGAGTCCTAAAGGCCATTATTTCAGTGAGTTTGCTTTTGTTCACACTAGAAAGAGCAAACCAAGATCTCAGCTGTGATGCACTCCTCATTTTGGCATCCGGATCAAAATGGACATAATCTGGGTGAATAACGTCGAGGGTTTCTGCTGCTTTACACGGTAAAAGATTCTTCTTCCTCTCCAAAGTGGCTCTGGAAACTTGTAATTTATTTTACTGTGCTTCTGTAAAAGTAAGCCTACTCAAATTTGCATCACATATTACACACTATGCATAAATTGTAGACTGACAGATTCTCGTGAGCGACACCAATTTCCAATCCTAGCTGACATGAGAGGTCAAACAAAAAATACTTTGTTGTGTCTGGATGAAATGTAAAGTATAGACACATATAATTAGGATTTCAGCAAGAGCATCCTGTATCTGATGTCAACTGACAGCGGCAGGCCAATCATCCTCTGGCTTGCATTACAACCAACATGATTGAGTTGAAGGTCAATGACTGAGCATTTTGGCGACTCATTGTTTTCATGCAGTGCTTGTTTTCATTTCCAGCCTAGCCCATGATGTCCACGGTACTTTCTGTTTCACTACCGCTAGAACGAGCCTCCCCCAAATAGCATGAACACTCTGCCGTAGAATTCAAAGCAGCACACTCATTTCAAAGGGTCTATGCAATGCAATTATTTCACGACAACCCTTTAAAATGCATCCCAGGAAGCAAACATCAATGCTACATGTAGACTGATTTGTGCATGAAGACATGTTAGATTTTCTTGCATTTTGCTGTCCAAAATGTCCTTTTTTTGATGATTCCTTGTGTAAATGAAGGGCAATGAAAAATATTCGGCAACCCTTTCTCGGAAATGTTTTCAATAAGCAAATTTTGGTTTCATAATTTCAACAGAAAAACCTACAAAATGAGCAGTGTCCTCCCTGACCGACATCATGGCAGCAACGCCCTTGGTTAACCACAAAAGCATGGACAATTTCAACTGTCTAAAAAAAGGGCACTTTTCAAGATACTTAACCAAGAAAGATTTCAAGTAGTTTTCCTACAAAGAGGAGGCATAGTAAGTTGCACAGAAATCACACATTAGAACAATTCTTTGCTTGGACCCTTTAAAGTTCCTTTGGGTAACCTGGAAGGACTTACCGTTATTATACATCTCTTCCTCTGTGTTCTGCCCAGCCTTGCATAACATTATGCCCACTTTATATTTATTGCTCACCTATGTGGAAAAAACAAAACAAAAACATCACCAGATATCATTATGATACAAATTACATGAACACAGTTCAAAATCGCATGCTAATTACTTGGTTCCATTTAGCAACAACACACAAATATGAGAAATGGCATCAGCCACATGGCCATGGCTCCACAGGGGCGTGTGCTGTTCCTGGCCGTAGTCAAACAATTTCGGACATGTTCACCCAATCTCGGAGATATTTGCTGAGTGAACCCTAATTAGGCCAATCCTGAATGGAAAGTAAGCCGAGGAGATCCAGCCAGTCCATTGTGGGAGGGGGACCTTATGAACACGGTGTGCAAACAAGAGAGGGTGTTAATGTTTTTGTTACCTTGATGCAGCAATAAGCAATGCCATCCTGTTTGCATCAGGTGTGCAGCGTATACATTGCATCAAACTTATACAGCATGGTACATACATATATAAAGCTACTGTTTTAATGTGCACATACATGGGGCCTGTGCATGGTGCCAAATGAAGCAAGGGTAGGCATGGTAGGACACTGGCATGGTTTGTGGCCACTACAGAGCCACGGATATCTGTGCAACGATTCCATAAGAACAACCTGGGTTGCTTGCTATGGAGAGAAATGAGGTGGTTCCACAGGCAGATATTGCTATTTCCTTGGGGAGGGAGGAGGGGACAAGCCACGGAGCCTACAGTGTTTACAAATACACGTTAGTGAAAGGCAATGGAACCAAAATCAAATGATTTTGTGTAGAAGTCTTTTGTGACAATGTCTGTAGACTGCATTGCTTAGGAGGCTATCTGAGCTGCCACAACTGCCAACGTTCATGTGGTGGCATCAGTGGGACTGCCAACGAATGGGTGTAATCACAGACCAGTTGGGTGTAATGCATTGCACTCCTCGATTGACAGACAGAATTTAGCGTAACTGTTAAACTTGGAAGCCAACAATGCTGTCGTGGATTGGATTATTTCATCGTCAGTGTGCAAATACAGAGCTTCCACAGGACGACTAGCCATGTACGTCCCTTCAGCTTACTTCACGCGTGAACAACATTTTAAAACTTTTGGGGCAAGATCTCATGACCAGTCCCTTGATTGGCTAATTTACGTGTAGCTGTTTCACCTGGCCTACTGGTAGGTACGCATGTACTGTACCGGTAGGTGCATCTTTTTCACACAAATAATGAATAACATCCAGGCAGCATTCCTTCTCCGAATCCACTCTATTTTTGCCAAGTTTGTAATTCAAAGGCAAGTATTTCAGGAACTTACTGGTACTCATTGTGTATGTCTACAATAAATATTACACTGTTCCACTGCGAGAAAAACAAATTTGCCACTCCAACAAAAAATTGAATGAGAATGTCTCAAGCATTTCAATACAAGCATTTACAGGGTGATGTCCCATGCAATACCCTGTAGATGTCATAAGGCTAAATGATGAAAGGTCATGAGATTTCCCAATTAACACAATTTCATCAGTTTCGTCAAGTTTCATCGAATGAATATGAAACCTATTGCTGTAATGGATTCTAGCCAGCCGGCCATGACAAACTGAGTGGTTTAAGTAGTAAAAACTGCTTTAAGACTTGAAGGTTTTCATGATGAAAGAACTATATGAGTCAAACGATTGCGGTTACACTATGGATCAGTCTCTTTCTTGAGTATGTGTGGTTGTTCTGAGAAGAATCGGGGTATAACTCGACGTTTCGAACAGTGTACTCTGTCCGTCTGCAGGAGACTGACGGATTCTAACTGGGAGTGGAGCTTGTATGGTGTAAGACGGACAGAGTACACTGTTCGAAACGTCGAGTTATTACCTGATTCTTCTCAGAACCACACATACTCAAGAAAGAGATTTGTCCACGGTGTAACCGCTATCGTTTTACTCAAAAACCGCTTTGTACCTGTAAGTAGGAGGTTAGGGGTTAAAGCCAACTCGACCAAACTTGTCAATTTCTTTGACAATTGACAACATGGTATTGAGCTCCACTGCTTATACACTGTAAAATGCACCAACATCCATCCTCATTTTACGTTCAAACTGCATTTTCTGTGTTCATGCTGCACCAAATTTTACAGCTTTAAAAATGTTGGCCAAAAGGGGCCGAAAAAAAGTCAGCCTTGAATTAATGCATTCGCCTTTCAGCTTATCCTGTGAAAATGGGACAAGAAATATACACCGTACATAATTATGAAAATTCTGTCGTGTGGAATACCCTTTTGAAACACAAAATTTATGTTTGACAACACTGATATTAAATTCCAATTATGATATGGAAAACAAAATGAAATTTGGAACAAACCCCTTGCTCATCCAGTTTTAGTAGTTGCTCAGTAACCTTGGCAGATGACAGGGCCAGCCTGAGGCAAGCCAAGGGTAGATCGGGGACCACATATTCCAAGACGTCCTTGAGGGGGAAGCCCTTAGGGGAGTTGTGCTTGGCGGTAGAAGGGATGGAATCCTCAGCGATGACACCGCGCAGGGTGACCAGCTGCAGGGGAGATGAAAATGGAGTTATAATTCGATAGCAGAGCATCTCCGCAGAGCGAGTGAGAAATTGCGACCGTATTTAAATTCTAAAAGGAGTCAATATATGAGATTGTCTCGCAGATGGGTTGCCCATAGCCAAACCTAAAGGAAGCCACATCAATACCGCCGAAAAAAATTTCCCAGTGCATTCACGACTTACCGTATAATGCTCCATTTCTCATACCATGACTTTGTTATCAACTTGAGCTTTTTGCCCTGACATGGTTTTGCCTGAGGCTCAAAGACATTAAGAAGCCTATCCAAACCAGGCACGAATTCTGCCTTCATTTGTATACACACCCGGTATTCTGCTTACAGAGAATGAACAAATAAGACAGAGCCTAAAAGCACCCACAGTACGTAATTTCATGAAGCTGGATTAAGCAGCCAGTGCCAGAAACAAAACAGAAGATAGAAGCATGTAGGATTCGTCAAGCTTGTAAACATGAGCGTATACAGGTAGGTGTACAAGCCCAAATGTCTTCATTACCGCATGGTTTCTGTGAAAACTGTTACAAAATTCATAAGTGAATGAAATAACACCGAGAGGCTTTATAAGGGGTTTACAGTCAACAGGGAAAAAAATGGCGGCTAGGCTCCCTCTCCCACTGAAAGTCACACAGTATTCCATTTCAGTAGCTGGCTAGTCTTTTTGTGGAGAGGAATTTGATAAATCAAGTCATTGTAAACAGAAATACATGTATGTATGACCAAAAACTCTCATGGAAAACCCTAAAAAAGGCCTTGTGTATGACTTATTCGCAAGACGGAATGAACAAAACAACGGTAAAAGTTAATGAGCCATTTGATTGGTAAAAAGTGTGACCCAAAATATCATGCACTGCTCTCTTTATCAAGTCACGCCAGTTCCACCTGTACATGTATACACACTGTGCATGATGCACACCTATGAAACATGTACACAAATCGGCAAAACATGTCCAAAAGTGTTTGTTGGACCGTGTCAATGACAAAACCTTCTGCCAACAAAAAAAGCACTTTGAAAAGATGAGCCAACAATTTATTAGCAAATTACAGGTACACCAACTGACTTTGATGTAACTTCATCGCAAAGACAATCAGGGTGACGACCAAAGAAAATTCCCAATTTCTGTACACTGCCTCTTATTTCACTTTAATAAGCAAAGGTTCGCTGCATGTACTTATATTTTCCGGTTTCAGAATACATGTATACGCATGTGGGAACGGCAAAGGAACAGATCCAGATGTTTCTGTCATTACTGTTATCAACTCCTGAGTCCTGCCCAGAGAACAAAGACAGGAATGACTGCTAAACCAGATGGCAGGGAGAGCCAAAATAAATGTAACCAGAACAGGAAGTGACAAAGGACGCAGTGAGCTTTAAGGATTCCAGAAAGTTGAAGTGTAACCAGCAACAATGTTCCTCACCCCATTTCCTGAATACATGGAGCTATGGTATCAGTAAGAACAAAAACAAACAAGAACAGGATGATGATTGTGCATGAATGTGCTTGTGGGTCCATTCACATGCATCTGTACATGTATTTCTTGGTATTACCACACACAATTCACATGATGTATAACGTACTACATATATGTACATGCACATTTTGTATGAATAGGTACATGTACATGTGAAACACTGTCCCATGATGTTCCATATAATGCAATTGTTATGTAAAGGGTACATGTACTAAACGGAACACACTGATCAAGTACAGTGCATATGTCAACCATGAAGATGTACGTGTACGTTAGTGTAAATGTAGACAATTTACTGGGATTGTATTTCTCGAGAACTATGTGTACATGCATCTGTTCACGAAAACAGTAATGCCCAACCACTTTCAACAGCGACTTCTCATTTCAGACACTGTCCTCCCCTTTCTGCCACTCCCACAAGAGGGAAAGGATCATACGGTATCCTTTCTTTTCACAACACAGAACAACTACTCTGGCCTCTTTCCAATACACTCCTAATTATTGAAAACATTGGGGGGGGGAGGAAATACATAAATTCCTGACTTTTTTCTGTTTCCATTCTTCTTGAGTCTATTACCTCATCTCCTGCTGCATGAACATTACCATGCCAAGCGCACAGTGACAAACCACTGGTAACCAGATCAAAGAACCAAACTAGAAAAACTGTATCTGTTTTGATCTTAATTTACATTGGTTGACATGAATGACGCATATCTTTTTGTTGATGTCAAAACAGTAACGAGGACAGAAAGTAAAAGTATTTAATGACATCTGCAATTTTTCATGACTCATTTCCTTCTGTTATTTCCTTTACAAAAATGCTTTCATGAATACTGTATTTTCGCATCATTACAGCAATTAAACAGACTTCATTACCAATTGTATTTTGGTCTGAAATATGATTCCCTACCCCAAAAGACACTGCATCGCGCCAAACAATTCTATTTCTCGGATTAATGGAGCATTTGGTGTTTAGTTATCGCTGTACTTTTTTCCCCTAGCCACTTTGTCCGCCTCCTTTCAGGACGTTTCAATGCATGTCTACAGATACACTGCCCTAGCTTCAGATGTTCATCTATACACGTGAACCGGGGACAAAGGGGATGAAAAAAGACATGCAGATGCTGGAATCGGTCAATCTTCTGGCCAAGACTTAAACCATTGTAGTCCGGAGGGGATTCAAGATGAGATTTGAGGATGAGACCTAGCCCTAGTTAAGAGGACGGGATTAATGGAAGGCCACGATATGGTTGGCTGTGTGGCTTCATTTAGGCTCTCTTAACCGGTTTAAAAGATGCATTGTGGATACATGTATGTGAGTTGGCCGAAACCAGACAAGACAAACTTCTATTGTATAAATCACTCATTTCTAAAAAGCATAAACAACTTGGTGCATTTTAAATGACTGGACAGCTTATCTTGGCAAATTCATCGAGAAGTTGTTTGAAACAAATACAAATAAATGATTTTTACCCATTTAGTTCCTTTCCGCACTGAGATTAGACGCCAGGTCATGTGCACTGTAACCATCTAGGATTCCAACACTGTTGTCAAATGTACATAATATTTTTTTTGTTTTTGCTTTTGTTTTGGGGGAATTTTTGTTTTAGCTTTCTCACCTGAACATTTAGACATTACTGATGCCAACCCCCCCCCAGCTTTTCTGAAAGTAAAGGTTTCACGGGCAAAGACTTCATAAATTTGCTGGATATGTTTTCTTGTAATAGCTGCATAGCTCAGCAAGCATACATGAAGTAGTGTAACCTTGTACCCGTAGTTCCTCTTTCCCACAAATATGGGTAAAGGCTGAACTTCCTCTGAAGTCTGCCAGCTGTGTATGCCAAGATTTTACATCTGGTTCACACAACAAATTTGCTGAAATATATTTTCAAAAGGGAAAATACTGCCATGTAAACCACAGGTAAGTTACGATTGTAAATAGACAGGGCTATTTGACAGTTTCCAAGATATCAGCAGTTGCTTGCACTGATTCACTTCGAGTGAATTTTGCATTTTGATGCCGTTAAATAAAACGTACGACCAAATCCCATCTAAGGAAACATAGCACACCAAAAAAACCCAAAAAACTGAGGAGTTACATTTTTAACTTAGTTGTTTGAATTATTTTTGTGCACGCAGAAACAGCTTTCATGTACATGTATGTCACCAAAAATTACTACCGGAAGCTAACACTAACTTTTCTCAATCCTCCCAAATCCTCTGGACAATTTTGGAAGAATGAAGCTGCAAGGTAAAAAAAAAAGGTGAGGCTGATTGCAAAGGATGCACTGCATCAAGGCCTTGGGTTAGACCTTAGTGTTGTGTGCATAAATGCATAGATTCAGGCCGTGCATAAATTCAGGCTCTGATTACATGTGGTATCATCCACATTGCTGCTGAATACCATTTGCACTGCCTCAACATTAATTCCAGAGGATTTGAAGGAATGCGGCAGTGGTCACCCATCCAATCTGCACATTAAAGACAGTGGAGACTTCAAAAGAATGAGACTATCCCATTTTATATACAGACAGCTGGAAGAGTTTAAAAGGACAGAGGGTGCAACCTAGCCAAAAGGGCCTTAGGGTTTGGGGTTTACCAGGGTGTCATTTATCAAACTTGTTTAAAGTAAATCCAAACTGAATTATGGCTAAGCCAACATGATGTGGCTATGGCTAGAAATCAGATGCATTTCCATGGCACTTTCACAAGCCACTGGCTTACCTCGCAGGTCCTGACGATGATCCTGTACTGGTACTTGCCGGCGGCATCTTTGTCTTTCTCTTTGCTCTCCGTCGCCCCGTCTGTCTCATCCAACCTGCTTTCTCTTCGTATACTGATTGCCACCGGCCCGTAGTTTTCATCCAAGCCAAAATAATTCTGGTGCTCTGTAAAACAGGACAAATTTGCCCGTAAGCCTCGTTTCTTTCAGTCTAGGTTGATTACAGCCACCAATGTAGAAACATGGCGGCTGGATTTTACAGTTCAGAATACCAGTAGCTCAAAATGTACCAAAACGTCAGTGAAGATTTACAACAGATTGAGAGAACCGATAGTTAAATGCAACAATAAACTGAAAACCAACCGGAAGAGCAGAACTCACCAAACCCATAGAAGTATTTCCTGTAGTACATGGCGCCATGATCCACAAACTCAATGACGGGGCCCTTCCAGTTTAGGCTTGCCCTCCTCTCAGGCTCCGGCTCCGCCTCCAGGATGGCCCGGTGCTTCTCCCGGTGCATGGCCCGGGCGTTCAGCATGCCGATCCGGGAGAAGGAGACGCGGGGCTCCACCTCGTTACCAATCTCATTGCGGAAGAAGGGGCAGCTGTGGATGAGCAGGTTCCCCCGGCCGTCCCCATCGTCTGCCAGCTGTTCCACCTTAAGAAGATCCTCCAGACTCCCCTTGGTGAGGCAAAGCAAGATAAATCTTCAATTAAATGCAGACCCCCTTGGAGATTGGTCCATACTTGAATACGATTTTTGTGATGTCAGATCAAATACAAATGCTGCAAAATTGCAATAGGTGGACACCTTTTGCAAAGTATTGTGACGTCAAACCTCCCCTTACTTCTGAAACTCACACCTGAAGGAACTTGGGATAGAAATCCCATTTTTTAAACTGAAGTACAGTATGTGCAGATAATTTTTTTGGCGTTTGACAATGTTTTTCCATCACTGCCATCATCTGAAATCGTTCATACTTTAATGTGGTTCAAATTCGAATATTTCACCTTCAGAAAGCTCTGGCGACTACGGCTAATGAATTTGCAGTTTTCATGTACACATTTACCCTACAAGTCCTTATAATATTGAATACATCACCCCCCCACGATTAGCGATTCTTCTGATGGAAGTGGTCCTTGAATAAGGCAATAAAATATTCCGCTCAAAGGCTTAGTAAATTTTATGATGAAGGTTTTAAAATCTTGATGAACATGTTGGCTGTATGGAAAAGACGAAGTGATTCAGGATATTTGCAGGGGGAAGGTGTTGAAAAAACATCTTGCACAACGCAAAGAGGGAACGGCACAAGGTTCACAGAACCTGTCCCAGTTACTGCATAATTTCATCGGCCAGCAGTGTGATGACATGTACATGTATGTGCCTCTAAAAATTTAAACACATGTAGTTGGATGGAAAGTTGTTTCTGGGTAAATGAAACTGGAGGGCACATGGCCAAAGCAGAAAGTCCAATTTTTATAATTTGAAATGCATTCATACATGTACATGTGTATACATGTATAAGCGTATAAATATGTTGGAATTTCTGTCCGGATATTTCCCTTGATTTCCAGAGTCATAGTTACTGCCCTCCTGCTTGCATTAAAACATCACTACCAGTATATACCTAAAACTATTCAAGATAAAAAAAGCAGTACAGCTTAATATCCTAATGTACATGTATGCCTAGCAGCACGGCTTGCCTGTGACAGGAAGACAAGGTCATTGTCATTCCATTCTATCCCTGTTTCCTCTCGTCATTTTGTTCCCAACTTCTGCTTCCCTTTTTACATGTACTTTGAACTCTTATCAACGACAGACATCCCCAAGAGACAACAGCAAATTTATCATGTTTATGCAAAATATCTCACATAATGCTGCTCTTTTTTATACTTTATCAACACCCTGCGCAATCTGGAAAGTTTTACATAATCTGATCAAGTCCAAGATAAAAGTTTAAAGGGTTGTACCGTAGATTACCTGATATTTCTTTTTTTTTTATCTTCATTGGAAAAGACATGAAGAAAATGAAAAATCAAGAATTGGAATACATGCACATGTACCGGTACTTTGGAGTTTGGTCAAACTAAACTCCTTCAAAATGATCATTCTGTGAAATAAAGCAGAAAAACATGTACCACAATGTACATGTACAGGTATATGTACAAACACACATGTACAGGTGCAGCACAGCTGTACTGTACACATTTATCTTGAAAAAAATCTGAGGGAAAGTGGATTTGATCAAAAGGCAACATTTGAAACTCTCTTCTTGTCTTTGCTATCGACAAAAATCAGATGCACCCTGTCTGTCAAGCTTTATGTGTACCTACACAATGCATGTACAGTGTACATGCTATCTTTTTTACACAGTACTTGTACATGTACATGTTCTTCCAGGCAAGGAAATTCTTGCAATTTATGCTATATGTACCGTACCCAATTATGACAAATACAAATGATCATTCTGGGTTCATAGAAATCAGTATATATTATTTTGCCTTCAAATCTGACAGAGATCAATGGCTAATATTTCTTAGTTCACCTCTCTTCCAGCAAGGGGTCAAGTGCATATACATGTACACTGTATGAGTATTGGGGAATGGAATGTGTCAAGCTACCGGGTAACTATACATGTACATGTATAGCTGATGTTCTAAACAGCTTTTTTCTCCTGACAGGTGATGAACTTTTCCTCTGCTGTAAATGCAGTTTTCCACACAATCACCTGAGCAAGGTCATTAACTGAACTTCCTTCTTTTTGCATTTCTGCTGAGACTGTGAATTTTTCTTTCTTTCTTTCTGCGACATCAAGACCTCAAGTTATTCAGCAAGGGAACCTGCACGCCTGCACCTCTACCAACTTCTTTCTTGGCTTCGATAAATTCTGCAGGTGCAGCTGATATATGAAGTGGATAGCACACATAACTTAAATGAGCTCCAAACTCTGTTTCAAACAGCACTGTTACCGATTTTAAAAAAACTGCATATTTCTCTTCTGGCTTAAATATGCACAATGACCAATTCAAACAAACGGAAACTGCATAAATTAATTAGAAGGGCGACTAAATTCCACCCGTATGAAAACAAAAGAACGTTCCTCCATCTTTAACGTTCATGGGGCTGGAAGATGAACTAAGACTTACCTCTGGCGTGTTGTTAGCACTGTGTCTGGAGGCAGCTGAGGCACCGGTGGTGGTGTTTCTCTTCCTCTCTGTCGCCTTACGATTCCTGATGGCGTCCTGCATGTCAAAGTAGGTACTCTGCACATCATAGTGCTGGAAGGCAAGCTGCCTTGTCCTTTCCTCCATTCTGTCCTCCAGGGTGATGTCATCCTCCTCCCCGGCCGCTCGGCCCGTTCTCTCCAGAGCCTCTGCTCGGTCGCTGCCTTTCATGCTGCTGCGCAGCTTCTTCTTGAAGAAGGACTGATCCGTCCCTGAGGTGGACTTGTTTCTGTTCTTCTTGTTGCGCTTGCTCTGCTTCCGGGTGATCCGGGGACTCCCGCCAAAGTCGGCATTGTCGATGCTGTCTTTAGCTGTCAAGAGCTCTTTGCTCGCAGATTTCTCGGCAGCTGTTGACTGTTTAGAAATTCCTCTTTCTGTGTCATTCAAGGGCACGGAGCTGCCAACTTTTCCCTGAAGCAGTCTGTTCAATTGCGGCGGGGCGGGACTTCTTTGGTCAACGTCCGCCCGGTAGTCCTGCAGCATCTGGAAGAAACTTTCACCACTCACGCTCTGCACATCAATGGATGACGTGCTGCCGTATTCCCGCCTTGGCAACAAGGGGTTGTTGTGATACTCCATTCGGTCCGTGATTTCGTTGAGGGTGGAATTACTGTTGCTTCGTCGCAGCTGCACGCGGTCACCACGTGCCAAGCTCCTCACGTTATCCGTCGTCAAGGCAGCCTGTCGGGAAGCCTCTGCGTGTCCCTGAGCAGATACAAAGTACTTGTTGTCAGGACTGGTGTTGTGCCGACGGTGCGGACTACCAGTTGCACGAGTCCTTTTCTCATCTGGCAGTCCTTCTCTCCAAAACTGACCCCTGCTCCCTGAGGGGGTACCAATCTGGTCCTGATTCCTGGTCAGTTGTACCCTGGTAGCTGTGCTTGTCCGTGATTCCTGGGCGAGAGCCGGTCTCACCTCACCCTCTTGCCCCAGCCTACTGCCCCCTCTGACCTCCTCATAGTTGCCGTCGTACTTGTCCTCAACTTTCACTGGGGTGGCTAAGAATTGTCCTGAGGGCAAACCTCCACTGCTACTGCTGCTACTGTGGGTGTACCTATCCGAGTCTTCCTTGTTCCTCAATGGATCGTCCATGCTGGGTATCCTCCGGCCCTCCGATCGGGAGGTACCAGTAGAGTAGAACTTGTCGCTGGCGTCCCTGCCACCTGGAGGGGACACCCGACCGTTGGGCACCATGGTGCTGTGGTAGTACTCGGCCATCTGTGCGGCACCCTGTCTCACGCTCTTGATCAAGTGGGACTGTGCGCTGGACTGCGGCATGCTGCTGTTGTGCATGTAGGCCGGATACATGCTACTCCTTCCCTGTGCGGCCATTGCGCATGTCACGCCTGCAATCTCCCTGTCATTATCTCTCCGCTATGCAATAAACCAAGGTGCACGTGTCCTTGCTGTGCCAACCAGTTTCCTTCCTGGCTCTGATGTCGGGCCCACCCCAACTTCCTCTTCACAGATCGCTCCGACAATTAGGCAAAGTGAAAGATACTATCCAGGGTACAGCTCACCATACTTCTCCATGTCATACAACAAAACAAATACTCATTTCGTGTTAGGCATTCCCTCCAATGCTTTGAACTTCTGTAGAAAAATAAGCTGAGAAGTTCCACGGTTCTAAACTGTCCTTGTATTGCTTAGTGTTTCCTGTGTCCTTAGACTAATTACCGGTACAATGCAGTCACTGCTGTGGTAGATACAGATCCACCCGTGCCCATGTGATGTCTATCCTCGATCACAGAAATATTCACACCAGTTGCAGGTTTGCCTCACCTCTGTACGTCATCTGTCTTTGGTTCTGTATCAAAGAAGACAGAGAAGTCATAAATGCATATTAATGGTTGAAGTAAAAGATGTGTTCAATATGAACTGTGAATGAAATGTACATGTACTTGTAGAGAAATTTTCAATTTCATCCAGTTGTCTCTTTTGCTCAGCAAGAAAGGGTCCATTTGGGTAACACGTCAAACCAAGAGACTTTCCTGAACCTCAGGCTGTGTCCGAAATGGGTTTCCAGAGCTACGGCTAGGTCTACCGTCTACGTGTCTCTGCGTATTTCCAATGGAGTAAACACCTAGACCTAGCTCTAGACAATGGATTTGGATGCAGCCTCAGCTATGAGACAAGAGATGTTTATGAAATTCGCCATGCGTGCAAAAAGTTCAATCAGACATTCTTCATTTATCACACATTCCCCACTTTGACAGAGTTCTGTAAAGAAGCATGGATACTCTTCACGTTTCTTCAACACAGAAAGTCAACAGCTTCAGCCACCCTGCATTCAACAATGTAACTGTTAGTGAAGATAGTTTGCCTGACATTTATAAAATCGATGCCAAAATCAAGATATCAGTGGAACACTCACACAGGCTGAGAATGACAAATAAGACATGTCATGGTATTTGGGTAAATGCAGAGGGAGCGTATGCAGCAAGGTATGAGAT